AGTTTAACATGACAGCAAATGTACAACGTTTCGACAAGGTTTTGTCATCATCACCTGTATTAAATTTATTTTTGACTTTTTTTTTTGCTGGGTATCAGTGGACCTGTATATCATATTTTAATATGAAAGCAACGTAGTATTTCATTTTACAAAATCTACTTGTCTTTGATGTTTTCAAATGAATTGTTAACCTAAAAATGTCAGTTAGGCTGCTGTAACAAAAGATCCTAATTAGTAAATTGCATATATGGGGTATTCAAGTACACTAACGTCTGACAGATAAGTTTAAAAGTACCTGGAAAATCCAGATTTACTAAATTTAATGCAGAGAACAATTTAAAACCTGGACAGCAGTGAACAAATAAACATTTGTATAAGTCTTAACACTTACTAGTGTGCCAGCAGCTCTGTTGTGGCTTTGACTGTTGGTGCTGAGATAAGTCTTTCCTATATACCTTGACACAGAACAAAGACAAAGAGAACAATGTATGGAATTCTGACGTACCAACAAAATTCATACAAAATGTTAAAAGTATGTTATACCTGAATCCAATACTACTTATGTCACTAACTGTTCTAAATAACAATTAGTTGGGAGAAAATCCCTAACTTGTATCAATTTGTACAAGTGTCTGTACCACCCCTTCAGATTGACTTGACTTTTCTCAGAGTGGTCAGACATATGGCCAAAGTGATATGAGTTTCTTGTCATTGACATATACAAGCTGTACCTGAGTAAAAGAATTAGTACATGTTCAAGGTATTTTTACATTTTGTTAACAAGAATATTATACTACATGCAGAGCACCTGCATGAAATTTTAGAAACATTTACCTAAGTAGATCCGACTAAAGATATATTCTAAACCAGTTATGAAAGAGCAAAATTCATAAGTATTAATTTCAAGTACTACATGTGCAAGTCATGACTTATTAACACTCTCACCAAAAGAGAATATTTGTCAGTAATATCACAAAAGAACATCACATCATACTTTAAAATAATCATTTAATCCAAAGCCAATAAATGTAATATACTTGTAAAGAACTTAGTCACATGTTTTACAAGTTTCATTTCCTTCACACACACATTACAGGTTTATATGCATCCAAATGAAGAATGAGTAAAAAGGAGGTAAATAAATTATAAATCAAGGCTAGATTATGCATCATGAGACAGCAAGGAATAGGTCTATGTCTGTAAAATGTTTATCATAAGTTTTCATTACTGACTATCAGTGTTAAATAAATCCAACATGATATGATTTATTTTAACAATAAAAGAGATGTATATCTCTTGATTTTTTGTAATGTAAAATTTTTATCAGCAAATCATTAGCTTAGATGCAATAAAAAGAGTAGAGAAAGAGCAATCTTGAAGTGTTTTTTTTAGAAAATGTATTGGTGTATTTGTGATCAGATCTGGTTAAGTAATCTGTATGGCTTTATCATACCTGTCTAATGCTTCTAAAAATTGCTAATAAAAAATGTAAGCCAAATTTCTAGTGGTTTTTAAAAATTCTAAATAAAAATATATTATGATTGTATCATATTGAAATTTCCCTTGACCCATTTTTTGGGTCCACGTAGATGAGTATATGGTGCAAATTAACAGACTAGATTTGGTACTCAGTTTTGACATTACATATTAGATTACGTGTGACTCATTTCCTAGCAATGTTTTTCACCTAACTTGGTTCTTACTAGGTGAGATTCAGAGTTTTAATTTAATGTCTAGTTAATCAAAGTCAGGATCTCGATTATGTCAGACTCTCAATTTTGGCAAGTATTTAGTTTTGCTCTATTTATATCTTTGTGCCATATACTCAATTCTCTAATAAATATTTCACATTTTTCATGATTACAAAATTTAAAATCATGGTAAGTAAACATATTAAAAACAGAAAAGGCATAGACAGAATCTGTTTATTTCATTACACAGAATGACTTCTTTTGCTGTATTATGTCTAACATTTTATTTGGTGTCCAAATATAATTTTTCTAAAGCATTACTTTGAGCTGCCTATATTGAGTGTGTTTTCCTTCATTATATGGCACCCTAAATCTCAAACCTGTATATTTTACCTTCATGTGTAATCAGGTAGACATATTTATCATTGTTTTTAATTACTTACTTTGAAATGTTTGTAACTATAATACATTTGTAATCATCAAAGACTTGAAATA